CTCACACACGCACTCTCTCACACACGCACTCTCTCACACACGCACTCTCTCACACACGCACTCTGTCTCTCACACACGCACTCTGTCTCACACACACGCACTCTCTCACACACGCACACTCTCACACACGCACACGCACTCTCACACACGCACACGCACTCTCACACACGCACACGCACACGCACTCTCTCACCACACACGCACTCTCTCACACACGCACACTCTCACACACGCACACGCACTCTCACACACGCACACGCACTCTCACACACGCACACGCACTCTCACACACGCACTCGCACACGCACTCTCTCACGCACACGCACTCACACGCACGCACGCGCACTCTCTCACACGCACTCTCACACACGCTCTCTCACACACGCACACTCTTTGTCTCTCACACACGCACACGCACTCTCTCACACACGCACGCACACGCACTCTCTCACACACGCACGCACACGCACTCTCTCACACACGCACGCACACGCACTCTCTCACACACGTACGCACACGCACTCTCGCGCACGCACTCTCTCACGCACGCACTCTCTCACGCACGCACTCTCTCACACGCACGCACTCTCACACGCACGCACTCTCACACGCACGCACACGCACTCACACGCACGCACACGCACTCACACGCTCTCGCACTCTCTCACGCGCACTCTCACGCGCACACACTCTCTCGCGCACACACTCTCTCGCGCACACACTCTCTCGCGCTCTCACACGCACACGCACTCACACACGCACTCTCTCACACACGCACTCTCTCACACACGCACACACACACACGCACTCTCACACACACACTCTCACACACACACTCTCACACACACACTCTCACACACACACTCTCACGCACTCTCTCTCACACACGCACGCACACGCACTCTCTCACACGCACGCACGCACTCACACACACGCACGCACTCTCTCTCACACACGCACTCTCTCACACACGCACGCACACGCACTCTCTCACACGCACTCTCTCACACACACACACACACACACACACACACTCACACTCACACTCACACTCACACTCACACACACAAACATACCGCAGCACTTTCCGTCTCAGACTCAATCTATTCTCTTTCCAATTTAGTGCGTCCCGTCCCATCCCGGACATTCGTCTTCCCGCTGAAATATTCCATCAAACACTAAAGTGCTTCTGTCTCTCGGTTATAAAGCGGACGGCACAGGAACATTAGTGTGAGATGGACAATATTTCCCTTCCTCCGTCCCGAGTGCGAGTACAAACACAGGCCCGCAGCGTTATAAAGGTGCGCCGGTGCTCCATTCATAACGGGACGCTCATTAGAGAGCTGGAGATCCATCTAGAGGGACATGTTCAGATCGAATGCTCCTCGATTTCAGAGCGCCTCCAGATAACAGAAGAGCATCAGGAAGACAAATGCTCTCCTCTGGAGCATTCAGATCCGTTTCTCAGGTGTGTGACCGATGCGCTACAATCTCAACAAACCATCAGAGATATGAAACATCTCACGCATCTACTGGATATGATGATATACTTATATATTACACGCATAGTCAGGTTTGTCAGGACCCCAAAATGTTAAACGGAAAGCAAAATGTTACAGATTAATAATCCTCTTCTATATTATACGCATAACAAACTTTACTCATATATATATAGACGAATAAATCCATGCAATCTGATAGCTCACTCTCTCTCTCTCTCTCACACTCACTCACTCACTCTCACACACACTCTCTCACACTCTCTCATACTCGCACTCTCACACACACACTCTCTCATACTCGCACTCTCTCACACACGCACTCGCACTCTCTCACACACACACACTCGCACTCTCTCACACACGCACTCTCACACACACACGCACTCTCTCACAAACACACACACTCTCTCACAAACACACACACTCTCTCACACACGCACTCTCTCACACACGCACTCGCACTCTCTCACACACGCACTCTCACACACACACGCACTCTCTCACACACACACACGCACTCTCTCTCTCTCTCACACACACGCACGCACTCTCTCTCTCACACACACACGCACTCTCTCTCTCTCTCACACACACGCACGCACTCTCTCTCTCACACACACACGCACTCTCTCTCTCTCTCACACACACGCACGCACTCTCTCTCTCACACACACACGCACTCTCTCTCTCTCTCACACACACGCACGCACTCTCTCTCTCACACACACACGCACTCTCTCTCTCTCTCACACACACGCACGCACTCTCTCTCTCACACACACACGCACTCTCTCTCTCTCTCACACACACGCACGCACTCTCTCTCTCACACACACACGCACTCTCTCTCTCTCTCACACACACGCACGCACTCTCTCTCTCACACACACACGCACTCTCTCTCTCTCTCACACACACGCACGCACTCTCTCTCTCACACACACACGCACTCTCTCTCTCTCTCACACACACGCACGCACTCTCTCTCTCACACACACACGCACTCTCTCTCTCTCTCACACACACGCACGCACTCTCTCTCTCACACACACACGCACTCTCTCTCTCTCTCACACACACGCACGCACTCTCTCTCTCACACACACACGCACTCTCTCTCTCTCTCACACACACACACGCACTCTCTCTCCCTCTCACACACACACACGCACTCTCTCACACACACGCACACACTCTCTCACACACACGCACGCACTCTCTCTCTCACACACACACACCCACTCTCTCTCTCACACACCCACCCACTCTCCCTATCCCACACACACACACACACACACACTCTCTCTCTCTCTCTCTCACACACACACACA